GGGGCGCGGGGGGGGGGGGGGGGGAGCCCCAACCATTAGGCAGGGGGGTGATGTTGCTTGCAGTGTTCCTAAGAAAGGCCATGGCCTGGAGGTATTTGCATCACCCTTATTTTCAGAGTTGGTTAAGTCCTAATGGTAGTCTTCTGCAGCCATGGGACATTTCCGTAGCACTCTGTGACAAATGCCCGATTTTACAAACATTTCCCCAGCTACAAAATCCATGGGATCTTGCTTATAAATATGTTCACAAGGCTGCTCTGGTTAAAGGTCTGAGAACATTTGTCTTACAATGAAATTGTCTTGGAGGCCTTTAAAACAGTCATTATCATTTGTCTTGGGTAGAAAACAAATAAACAGAATGAGTTTCGCAACATTTTGTTTGCATTCTTCAACAGTTCTTTAAACGAAAAAGGAATTCAATTCCCTTTTCTGAGTGATCTAGTTAAAATGCATCCCATATTTTTAAAGACACTTGACCTTTGCTGTGGGCTTTTTGCCCTTTGCAGTTGCTTATCTTTATGAAAAAGTATCATCCTTTACTGTCTCAGAGTTCTATTCTCTTTTCAATATAAAGGCTATATTCCAGCATATATGCAGTTTTTTGTTCCTTCCCCGGCCTTTATATACTTAAAAAAAATACATACTAATCTGTTCAAATTGTCCTGTGCGTCTATAAAATGTAATAGCATGAGGTGTGAGAATCTGAAGATTGATTATTGAAACCTACATAGGCCATGTTGGTTTTTTTTAAACAAAATAATTTTTAAAGCAAAGCATGAAGTGTTATAATGCTGGGGGAAAATACACAAGGAGAAGCAGTACCCTGTAATTTATCATTCTAGTGCATGGCACAAGATGTTTATGTTTCAATGATATGGATAGTTTCTTAAAAGCTAGTTACATTTATCCATTAAATCAATTGTCCAAATTATTTTAATATGAATTATACCCAGGGATGGTTCTGAAATGTTCATTGCCTAAATTTCTTCCAGTATGAAGAAGCACACATTTTAGGTTTTAAAAGTAAATTTCCCATCATTTCCAGGTTGTTATTAATAACACAGTCAGAATAGGGGTGCCCATTAAAAGAAATTCATTTTTAATATTGACATGTCCCCCCCCCCTGTCATTGGTTATAGTCACTAAGTTTCATTTTTTCCACTGTTCTCAAATGGAAACATGTTTAAATAAAAAACAAACAAACCTGAGGACTTCCTAGAAAATGGTGACCTGAACAGGAGAATTTCTAAAAGCTCCAGACTTATCTCACTGAGGTGTACTTCAGCAGGGATAGAAAGAATTTACTTCTTTGTCCTCACATCTCACCTACCGGGGAGAACTAACTGATAGGAGAACCCACAGGGGGAGCTTGAATAATCAGGACTAGGGATTTGTTTGTTTATTCATTTATTCATGCATTCATTAAATTGGATTTACTAGGCCACCCTTCCCTACAAGTAGGGCTCAGGGTGCCTTACAACAAAATAATGTACAATCTGAGATTAAAATAAAACAACCCAATAAATACCAATACATAAAACAATATTGTCAAAATGGCAAAAATACAGCATATATGCTGTATTTTTATACAGATGGTGGGAAAAACTCTAGCACCCCAGCCTCCCAGGGGGCTTGTGTGAGAATGCCAAAGGCTACCCCCCCACCCGTTGCTGTTCTCAACCGAAGGCCTGATGGAACATCTCTGCATTGCATGCCCTGTGGAATAGTAACAGCTCCCACAAGCCATGGATGTCTTCTGGCAGAGCACCAACTGAATTATGAACTGAAATTCACGAAGAACAGGGCCAAGCAAACCTTGATTCAGGCCATCCCACCATCAAGAGCCACAAAAACCTTCCATGAACCTTCCAAGTGGGTTCATGTGGTTTGTGTTGGCAGATGTGCTGGTGCTGGTGGAGGGGCTTGGAGACAGCATTTAAAGAGACCGCAGTCTCTTTAAATGCCTTCTCCAAGCCATGCTGCCATGGCCACACAGCATCTGAAAACTATTTAAAGAGATCCCTTTAAACGGTTTTTGCAAGTTGCACCACAGCAGTGTATCAATTCAGAAAGCATCTAAATGCCTTCCCAGTTGGAAGCGATTTCAGCAATCCCTTTCACTCCCCCCACTTGGAAGTGAGAGCAGTGAAAGAGATCACTGAAATGCTGAAATGGCTTGCAACAGATGGCTTTAAAGATGGCTTTTGCAAGCCATTTCAGCATTTCAGCAATCCCTTTCACTCCCGTAGCCAGGATATTATAACTATTATTGTTGTTGTTGTTATTGTTGTTATTGTTTCAATTTATACCCTGCCCTCCCTGCGAACGGGCTCAGGGTGGCTTACAGCAGTGACCCAATTGCCAATAAAACTGATAAAACAATATACATCATTTCATAATAAGGTAAAACATAAAAACATAAGGTGCTATTAAGTTCTACAGTTTGTTGCTTATGATGGCGCATAAAGATGTCTCCAACAACTAGATTCCAGCTCAGTGTCGTTCCTAGTCGCTCGATGTAATGGGCCAGATGTTAAAACTGAGGGCCAGGCTCATTGATGGTAATGGTGGGGGAGGCTCCTAATTGAAAGCCTGGTGGAAGAGCTTCATCTTGCAGGCCCTGCGGAACTGCAAAAGATCCTGCAGGGCCATGATCTCCTCTGGGAGCTCATTCCACCAATAAGGAGCCACCACTGAGAAAGCCCTGGCCCTCATCACAGTGAGCCTGGCCTCTTTGGGGTCCGGCAGGGTCAAGCGATTCTGTGACCCCGACCTCAGTGCTCTCTGGGCTACATGTGGGGAAAGGCGGTCCCTCAGGTATGTCGGACTCTGACCATATAGGGCTTTAAAGGTAAGCACCAGCACCTTGAAATGGATTCGGTATGCTATTGGCAGCCAGTGCAGGGCCTTCAATGCAGGCTGAATGTGCTCTTATCTAGGTAAGCCCATCAACAGCCTGGCTGCAGCATTCTGCACTAGATGCAGCCTCCAAATTTGCAACAAGGGCAGCCCCATGTAGAAAGCGTTGCAGTAGTCTAGTCTCGAGGTGACCGTCGCATGGGTCACTGTGGCCAGGTTGTTGCAGTCGAGGGAGGGAACCTACTGCCTAACTTGCTAGGAGGGGGCTTTGGACGTTGGGGGGATGTCTTCAGCAAAGGCTGATTGTTGGAAAAGGTTGCTGGCAAAGGTTGACCCCTCTTCTTCTACTTCTATTGTATTTTCTCTTTTCTCTTCTTTTTTACAAATCTGCAATCATTTGGCTCACTTTTAAAGACTCACTTGAAATTACAATTTATCTTGGAAAGCTGGCAGATTTCCAGCAGCATTTGACTTTACCAGTAAGAGAACTTCTTCAAATATACAGATCATAAAGTACGATTTATAATGCAGAGATAAATTGCTGAACTGTGCCTAATTTACTACTGGAAACACTAGAAGCAGAGGAAACAATCTGTATTTTTATCTTCTGGATAAATGTAAATTTATCCCACTGCACTTATCTGTGTATTCTCTGTGGACTACTTTCTCTGTAGATTAAACAATTGGTTATTCTTCTCCCCCTTTTTCTTTTTGGATGGAAAATGATTAAAAGGATTGGAATGTGGATGAAAAATGCCCATTTAAAAAGGACTAGAGCCTTGGCCCTACTGTTCATTCCGCTCACGATGCCCTACCCAGTGGACCCTGGTATGAGGTGAGCTTGCTGATACTGGCACTCAGGATCAATTCTTCTGCGTCTCTTTCCCTCTCTCCTTGGGCTTCAGTGGGGAGGGCTGAATCCACACCCCCCCACACACACTATTAGCCTGTTGTTCATTGGATCATCATTGAAGATACAGGACAAGTAGTCAGTGTTGAACTATGTGTTGAACTATGCTGGATCATAAAACTAAAAGGGACAAGAGATAAGTACCATTTTAGGATGTGAGGATCATTCTAATTATTCAAACTAAAGGTTCATGATCCACCACTAACGTAAAAGGGTTATTGGCCAGGTAGAACTGGAGTACCCCAATTGCCCATTTAATGGCCAAGGCTTCTTTTTCCACTGTTGCATAATATTGCTCTGCTGGTTGTAACTTATGACTGATGGAGAGAATGGGTATTTTTTTACTGTTGAAGGTTTGGGATAGGACAGCTCCCAGCACTGTCTTGGAGGCATCGTTATGCAGTAGCAATGGATGATCAAAATTAGGATTTCATAACACCGGATCCTGAGACAGGCTGGCTCGAAGGGCCTCAAAAGCTGTTTCTTGTAGTTGCTCCCAATGGATACAGTTCTTTTATTATTATTATTAATAGTTTATATGGATACAATTCTTTAAGTAGTCTGTGAGGTGGCTGGCTAGGGTAGCAAAGTGAGGAATAAACTTGCTATAATGAATGCCAAAAAGCAACAGGTTTTTTTTTGGGGGGGGTTGTAGTTGGGTGTGGGGTTTGTTCCAATGTAGTGACTTTTTTGGGTAGGTGTTTCAGTTGCCCTCTCCCAACTAGGAATCCTAAATACTTTAGCTCCTTAAAGCCAATAAAGCTCTTCTTTGGGTTGGCCCTGACGCCGGCCTTAGCCAGGGCTTGGAGCACTTGTTGAAGGAGTTG